CAAAAAATAGAAAAAAACTTATTTGATTTCGTTGAGTGACAGCCAGCGAAAGGTATCATCCATGTTGACAGATCATKCTCYCTTAACTTATTTTTCATTTGTGTTTCTTATTCGACCAATCAGAATCAAGGATGACTGATTGACATTAAACAACCAATATACACCTCTTAATAAGTACAGAATTCCAACCAATCAGAATTGACAAAACTTGATTGACATAAACAACCACGATATTGTGTAATAAGTAAAGTATTTGATTAGAAACATCTCTTGTTTTCATTTTGCATTTCCCTGGCATTTCTTTTTTCTATGACTGCTTGTAAAGCTTTTTGTGATTATATTTACGTCTTTAGTGATTGTGGAGATTGTTTKATGAGTTTTATGAGTCGGAGAATCAAAAGAAGCCTTTACAATTTTCTTTTTGAGACATCAAGCTGTGCCATCTTATTTGGCCATATTGWATTCCACTATAAGTCAGCACAGCTTTTAAACCTCTCTTCCGTGCAGCAAGGAGCATTTTTATTGATTTTTTTCATATTATATATMAATAAACAAGCAGACAGTCTTCAAAACCCACCATGTTTTTACTCACTTTTKAAATCTAAAACACTGTGGATTAAGGTTTTAAATGTAGCAAAACTCGATGAAATATTTAGAAAACTTAAAACTGAATATCTCCTCGGGGGAAATATCATAGGGCGCAAATGTTTTTTGCAATTTGAAATATTAAAACAACTAAACCTATTATAATGGGATACTGTAAGCCAGACATGGACCTTTGGGCTTGTTACTATGGATAATGCTGAGCTAGCGTTTAATTCGTTCAAAAGATCTATTCACCTAGACGAGAACCCAGCGAGATGTAGGTCATTAATAATTGAAAATGTTCTTATTTTGTTTACAGAAGTCTAAAGCACACATCGTTCCCGCCATAAAACACTCACCTGCGCCTTGTAAGCGAGACAAACCTTAGTAACATCACTTCAAAAAGTATGAAGAATCTCATGGTATTGTTCCTATGGCTAGTTTTATTCATTTCAGGTATGTTTWARGCCTGTTGAGTYTATTTTTGTAGGATTTTTTTAAGTATTTGRATATACAAGTGTCGACCATTATAAATCCTCGAATGTTAAACTATCTTAGTGTATTTATTGTCAATTTGATTTATTTCAATTTTGCTTTATTTTGTTTAACTCCAAGTTACCATAAATATGGTGCAGTCTTTCTCCGTGTATTTTAACTTGAAGCAGGTTGAATAGAAATGAATTTCGTTATTATTACTATGGAAAAGTGATACTCTTAAAGGATGGCGCAGGATAGAATCCACTAGAGGAGGAATATCTCTGTTTTTCAGGCAAATTTTCTAGAGATACAGTTTTTACTGATTTACGTTTTTCCAGATGTACACAGGTTGTCAGTCGACCGATATAATTGCAAAGTTGTTTTATCAAAATAATTAAGATCTGGATATTATTTGTGCAAACATTTTGAGGTATRTATTTATCTTGTCGCTTGTGAAATTGGTTTTCTGTTCATTATTTTAAGCCATTCTYAAAACCTGGTGTTGTTATAATCAATTCAAGCCTTACAATTATTATTCCTGAAAAATAATAATTAAACACGGCGCATACGATGGTAGTCGCTTCAACCCTGACATAGATTATAAAGGGCTTATAACCTCTTTGTGTTAGCCGAAAGTTTAACATTTAAAAACGTAGCACTTCATTTTGACTTTGAGCAGAAGGATTTGTGGAGCCGAATTTGTTGATAGTTGCCTAGTACGCGTGGTATTTTCATGATTATCCTGAGGTTTTCGTAATAATATTGTATACATCTCATGGAATATCTCATTTGTATTTTTCCAAGAGATATTTTAATAATATAGATCGCATGTAATCTGTGTAAGTCCATAAAGACGATATAAGAACTGCTTTCGATAAGTTTTGATTGGACAGCAGATCCTACCATACCTGTATGAAAATTCACATTTCCGTTCTTCAATAATATTTAAGTTTTAGGCTTTTAATAATTGATTATAACTTGAMAGAAAGAATCGACATTATATTTTTKTACTACTCAGCCTCAATTCTATCGAAAAACAAGTCGGTATAATATCTTAATGAGTAATCTTTGATGGTATTGACGCAGATCTTATGTGTGTATTTTCAATTAATTGTGTACATTGTTATAAATTCAGGGAAGGATTCTGATGATTCATCGTCTAATTGAGATACTAAAATGTATTTCACACTTTATTGTTCAGTGTTAAAGTGATGCGGCTGCAAACTACGACTAACCTCCCAAACATCCATCAGATCCAACAGATAAGAAAACAGAAATACCAATACAAATTACTGCTGTTTTCAAACATGATTTAAACGCCTTAATTGCAATCTAAGGCAATGTCAATCAGCACTGATCGACCAACTACTAGATGATGTCATTTTAAAGYGTTCAATCGTATTTAAAGTGTAATGATCAAGAAATTAAATGAAAGGAAATTTGAATTGAAGTCATGTTAAAAAGTTTGGATTAAAAAGGCGAAGTCCATCCACTTTCGTTCCATTTTGACTGAAAAATCATTTRTTTTATTTTCTCGCAAATTCGCGCCGACAGCAAGTTTGCGTCTTGGTAAGCCCTCAGGGCAAAAGTACAAGTGCTTATATTTATAGAAAAAAAATTACTCCAACTAATATTTTTATGCTTCAAAACTTTGATTGATCCCTTAAAACATCCAAATCTCTGTTTCACATTGAATTCAAGATGGCGGCGTATTTGAGCAAAGATCTTTGAAAATACAGGCTTTCGTTACATACAAGCCTTGATTGAGAGTTTTATATTATATATGTATTATATATGTATTATATATTATAAGTTGCTTTATTATCATTATAATTGTTATTATATTAATTATTATTATTATTATTATTTTATTATCAATTCTAATGACCACTCAAGCAAAGTTTCTTATCTTAAATATATAAACATAGTGATACTAAATGTTAGACAATATTCTTTTTGATTGACAGCTATCAATTGTTTAAACTCAACAACGAACAGCCTTGTATTTCCTACAGATGACGGCAAAACCGAGACTGTCGACGTTTATAGTGAGTGTTGTTAGCACGATGCACAACACCGATTAACGCACGATGTTTAACGAGTGTAACACGATGAACATACGATTGTGGCACGATGGTTGTACGATACTTTATCGAGTTGGATACGATGAATGCACTAGAAATACACGATATTTAACGACTAAAGCACGATAAACGCACGATATAACACGATAAATGCACTATATAACACGATAAATGCACGATTTAACGACCATAGCACGAGTAAATACACGTTATAAAATATTTTTAAGTGTGAACACGCAGGTGATTGCACAAAAATGTTCTCAATTAAATTAGTACTTAATATTTCAGTATATGTTTTTTTATGATGAATTGTATTTTCCCTGTGTTTTGCATGATTATATTACCAGTAATTTTGCTGTTATTCTGTAAACGTTTCATGTCAGTTTGTACAGTTATTTAGTACTGTTYTTAACTTYAAAACYYGGTAYGATTGTCGTTTCTTTCATTTCATCRTCTCCTTTTCACTTTTCATTCAATTCCCATTTTGTGTCTGCATGTGTTCACACAATGATTGCTTTGTTGACGCTGTGATGATCAGATGTTCTCGTTGAGAATCGATKTACTATCATCATTTCTGGTGAACAAATGCTGAGAAAAGACGAAAGACTGAAAGGCTGYGGCATTGTTAAGATTTCAGTCAATAATTGGCGACGCTCTGGCTCACACACACTGACTATATTTTTAGCTGTTTTTTTAGCGCATTTCACGGTCATTATCAAAAGCACCTCAAAATCGCAACAGAACATTCACGTGATTAGAACTGAACAGACTAACGATTGCACGATTCTTATAAACTAACCAATCAGCACGTGGTTACTATAACAACAAGACTAACTCTATGTAACATGCCACATGAAAGAGTAATTATTTAATGCTGCTAGTGGTGTGATTTAGAGTGGTTTTCAAAAACCCGTGTAACAAAGTGTAATAATTAGAGTGTAATAGATCGTAATAGTCGCGTAGAGACAATAAAAAACAAAAGAGCTAAAGTGTAATAGCGATAAATACGCTAAAGTGTGTTTCACGGGTTTATGAAAACCACTCTATAACGTTGATTTACGGTCAACTCTCTTGCAATGCATGATTTAACCAGTCTGTATATAGAATAGATCAAATATCATCAATCGTCGACAATGAGATCCAAGTTGTGTATCGGGAACTGTGCTAATGATAACATGAAAATTTCAATATCAAAATAATCAAAATAATGTAATTAATACTACTAAATATGGTTATTCAGGAAACTTTAAAGTGATTTTAATATTGTCTTAATCGTTTTTAAAAAAATCGATTATTTTCAGTGCATACATGTAATCATTATCATAGGGTAGGTCACTTAAAAGCATGATGGGATTGTTCGAGGGATTCGTTTTAACCTCCCACAAAGGAAATGCATGTTAGCATGATTGCTAATTCTATACTTATCGTTGATCATGTCTTCTAATAACTATTCTATGTAAAGAATGTTGTTCTCTTTTATCAGCTAACAATCTTCATGCTGTTTTACGTGTTGTTCTGTGTAGTTATATTGTTTATCCAGTATCCTTTTCTCTTATTGATTGATGTTCGATGTATTATTCCTTAAGTGTTTTGTCTCTTAATCTATGTGTAATACGTTCTAGAAGTTTTGATCGTATATCGTATTTGTCGTCATTTTTATCATCGTGTTTCCCTTGTTAGTTGTTCAATAAATCTCATTATCTTCTATGTATCATGCAGTCATCATCGTCATGTATTACGCCCTGTTCGTCTATTGATTATTCTACCATTGCATCGTTAGATTCCCAGCAAGATGATGATGAGCTGCGACTGGTCAAAGATCTATTTGAGAGTGGTTACGATAAAAATGTCAGACCAGTCTCAGATAAAAATCTACCAGTCGAAGTAAAGTTTGGCATAGCATATACGCAGATTGTAGACTTGGTATGTTCTAGAACCATGATCGATTGTTCTTTACATTGTATATCTTGACATTTAGTATGCTTTAGAATCACGATCGATTGTTCTATTTGTCGACGTGGTAATTGACTTTGGAATTTTGTTTCAGATCGAGAAAGACCAAGTCCTAGAGAGCAACATATGGGTTAGAATGGTAAATGACTTTTATTTGACTTTCCATTATTTGTGTCTGTCTGCATGAGTGTCTGCCTGTCTCTGTCAATATCTTATTTCTTGCATGTTTTTTAGAGCTGGAAAAATCATCTTTTACGATGGAATGCTACAGCATATGGCGGTATTAAAGCAATCAACATTACACCCTTAAAGATGTGGCTACCGGACATAGTGCTGCACAACAAGTATGTACATCTATTCATTCATCTATCCATCCATCCATTCATTCATTCATTTCTTAATTCTACCAGTCAGTCATTGATTCAATCACAAACTCGTTCTTTGTGACCATATCTTACCTTTTTCTTTCCTGCGTCGGCAGTGCCGAGGAGAATTTGCCCAGCGGTACTCTCTATCAGTTCAAGACTAAGGTGATGTTAACGAGTGATGGCAAATGTACGTGGTACGCGCCCACGATACTTCGCAGCGGTTGTAACATCGATATTACGTACTTCCCGTTCGATGACCAGCTTTGTGAGCTCAAGTTTGGTTCKTGGACGTTTAACGGCTTTCAAGTGAATATCGTYCAGATGAGAGAAGACGCTGATCTGGGTTTTTAYATGGAGAGTTCTGAGTTTAAACTCATCTCGGCTAAGGCTAAGCGAAACGTCGTCAAATACAGGTATGTTAAGTAAATAAAACAGAGTTGTAAATGGAGACTAGATATATTGTGCACAATGGTATTCAAAGTGAAGACCTGAGACTCAAAATATCTCTGAACTAAAAAGAAAACTTTAGAGACTACTAAGGTGGCTCTACTACTAAGGTATATTTCACGGGTTTGTGGACTTCACTCTATTGYTCCAACAGAACGAACTCTGTACTCATTAGTACCATTTAGTGCTAACTATATTGTGCTGCGATATTTCTATGGAGTTTGGTTGAAAAAACTTTGAGTTAAGTATTGTGCAGCTTAAAATTTCAGGCAGCTAAATAACGAAACGAGCTGTCAACGTATAAACCTCTAAAACGTCGTGGAAATGACTTGAAAATGCAATTTAAATGAATGCTTTCACAAGCAATTTTTAGGATATGTAATTTATTTATTGATATTTAAAACTGTTTGCTGTTTCGGTAAGTTATAATTATCTGTGTCAATCCAAATCGTTCATTCACGTTAATTCATTCATTATGGTAAAATACTTGCATGTTGCATGCGCATGRGCACTAAACTTGACCACTGACCACTATGACCGTGGTATTTGACGGTTGTKAAACCAAATAACCTGAAAACTTGAAATGGAAAAACGACATTTTTGGCTAAGGATTTCTTGATGATAATATCTAAACTGTATGCACTATTAAATCACCATGGAAACTGCGACARTTCGGTTTCCTTGACAACATAAATATAACCATGACAACAAAACTAACCACTTATAAACGCAATAAAACTACTATTAGTGTAAACTACAGTTTTGTCTCCTTGACAACGTAACTATGGTAACAACTTAAACTATAACAAAAGAAAATAACTCAAAACAACCTAAAACTAACAAAGAACAAGCACTAAACTACTGTTAGAACTGTACACTAAACTTAACTGTCACTATGGCAACTAAATTGATACGAAAACGCCTGGAAACCTTTACCAAAGCACTGTAAACAAACGGACTTTTATTGTTGAATTATTTCCTTGATTACTTCCTTTATTGGTATTTGCAATTCTTATTTCAAGCTTCAAGTACATTTCATGATTTTATATCCTGCAATTTTAGCTGTTTGTTTTGATTATACATTATGTTGTTAGTTGAGTTGAACGCTATGCCGTATATAATGACACATAGGTGTACATTGCATGCTGTAATACCAGGACATACATCGTATTCTTTGTGACAAACGTGAACAATAACATTATAGACGCTGATKATGTAARAACCGTGGCTATTGCTGTTATTRCAGGTGTTGCTTTTGTTGGGCACCAACTAAGTTAGGTTTTTTACGTTGTCAGCGTCKATGTAAACGACAATACTAGCAGTAAAAAATRATAAAAAAGAAAAAAAGAAAGATAAAAAATCYTCTTATCGTAAGAAAAGGAAAGAAYAAATAAAAAACAGTSGTAAAGGATCAGTCTGAACAAARCGYATTAAAAAAAGACATGACAGAAAAAAAATATGCTGGAAGAAAATCCCAATCAAAGAGAAAATAAAGGAAGTTAGTGGTATTCAGGTAGAAAAGAAAAAAATAGAAAGAAATGGAAGCAGAAGGCAAATGATCACGTGATAGTGACAGACGATCACGTGCTAACAGCATGACCAACTGTTTCTATTTTTAGCTGTTGTCCTGAACCATACCCGGATGTGACGTTCTATCTCCATCTACGACGTAAACCAGGTTTCTTTCTGTACAACATTATCATCCCTTGTCTCGTCATAACATCACTCGCCGTTCTAACATTTTTACTTCCACCGGAAATCGGTGAACGTGTCACGCTAGTCATTGAGTCATTCCTTGCGTTATCATTTGTTGTCCTCATGGTTTCTTCAAGTGTTCCTGTCACGTCAGACAACACACCTCTCATTGTCAAGTTTCTTCTGATTTCAATGTGTCAAATCGGCAGCGCTTTGATCGCTAACTGTATCTCTTTAAATCTGTACAAAAAAGATGAGATGCCKCAATGGGTACGAGTTGTGTTCTTGCATTACCTTGCACGRTGTYTATGCATAGAYACAGGGCATCCTAAAGGCAATATCCAAGCCAAGCAAGTCAATAATGAAAACGCTACAGATACATTTGAGAAGAAAGTRCTCAACTGCAAACATCGTAAACTCTCAGTTACATCKAGTGAGGGCGGAACCACAACGCCATTACTATCGCGGCGAGGGATATTGAATGATGCTCAAGTGAGTAAAATGGCGGACGGAATACAAGTGATGTCCCATAAGATCGACAATGAAATAGACTCAGAAATTGATCGTGACTTTTGGATCTTCACTTCTCGAGTCGTTGATCGACTGCTTCTCATCATGTTTACTTTGGCATTTATCTGTAGTTCAGGGTACATCTTTAGTATGGTGCCAAGTCACTATGGAATCTTCTAATCACATACCAAATATGGTATATAATTACCATATAAGGCACTCAAGGAAATATGGCGTTGAACCACCATTGAAGTACTAACTCTGTTATTCCAGCGAGTTTCCGCCGAATACCATCAGCAATACTACATCAATGCATCAATCATAAGGAACTGCACGCTATGGCACCATATAAGGCTACATTGACCAAATAAGCATGTACTGTGAACAAATATAGTAATACAACAGACAAATGTTCCCCTTTCGATCAAATAGGTACAGCGTGGTAATACAATTAGCAGATTTTTCAAAGTTTTCACATCAAATGCGGTGATATTACATATGTAACTACACTGGGAAAAATTCCTAAGCTCTAACATCTTCATGGTTTAAAACAATTATGTCTAAAAAACTGCATGATTCAGATACAGTATTTCTAATGTATGCCTAGCTTCATTTAATACGCACATTTTTAGCATTGTTAACATTGATTAGCAATCATTATTAACGTATTAGCATTTTCTATTATAAAGTGTGGACTAGAAGATAACTGTGACGTCATGAAACGTTATTTCAATTTGCAGGCAAATATTTACAGTTTTAGAGTTGACTTGAAAAGGTTTTGTCGTATTTTTCTATTCACGACACGTCAGGATAATAATATATCGATGTTAGGTTTCCTGTGGATGTACGTTTCGCGTTAATAAAATTGTTTGAATTCGATTAGTTTTTCTAGATTTGACGCCTACTGCTTACCCTGACTAATACAGATTGTATGACTGACTAATAGATTGAACGACTTTGTTTTATTACCGATGGACTAGTCAGCTGATTGATTGATGATTGATTTGAGTGATTGATTGATTGAATGATTGATTGATTGATTGATTGATTGATTGATTGATTGATTGCACTTACTGTAATGACTCCACTCACTATACCAACTCTACTCACTGTACTGAATGGCTGGGTGACTGAAATACGCTCTGATATTTATATAAATGCTGGGATATACTGACTTGAACGTTTGATTGACTGACTTACCAACTAACGAACTGTCTGTATGTYTRTTTGACTGAATGATTTCCACCACTAAACGACTAATCCACAACTATCTGAACAATTTTGTACGGATTACCAATCGTGCAAAGAAGGCTATTTCAAGGTAAGTCTAGCTGATGGCCTAGTCACCTGACCATAAACCAGGACATTTGATTGGACAATACCACGATGATTGACAGCTGACGAACATCTAATCTAATCACAACATGACTCAGGTAAAAACTGCAACGTGTTGTTTTCATTTCATATTTCTATCCTTTCATTCATTTCTTATTATTTTCATATCTTTGTACTTTGCCATATTTTGCTGTTGTATGTATTTGTTACTTTATTTGTCATTAATTAATTGGCTTACTTTGTGCTGGTAGTTGATTTTAATCTGTGGGTATAGTGTTTATGTGTTTTTAGCCTGTGTTAAAGTTAATTTGATATCAACATAGTAAATAAGATTATATTCCGTTTAAGGCTGCATGGACATTTGCTATATAAGGTGTAATTGCATGCAAGTTTATTATTCTTTGATGATAATAGCTGTTGACTGTAATTTGCATGGGTCTCATAGTGGCAAACCTTTATGTTACTTTTTTAGTGACTTGAAGAGGAAACTGTATTGTTTAATGCATTGTATGTAGTCCATAACTCTATCTGGAGTTAGACAACTCAAAACAATGTATTTCATCGTTCAATGCCTCCTTTCCCAGCTTCCCCTGCTGCCATACAAGGCTCCTCCCCATGGATTATCCCGTACCATCAAGCAAGGYGGCCAGAAGGGGAAATATTGGGCTGCCTTATAAAGTTGGTTGGTTGGTGTTTGTTCATCCAATATTCCTCGACATTATCTGTACCTYCAGATGGCAAGCATGGATATTATTTATTTATTATTATTTATTAAATTTATCTTTTGTATGCTTTATAGTTGCTGCCCTGAGCCATATCCTGATATCACGTTCTACATTCATCTTCGTCGCGATCCTGTATTTTATCTCTTCAACGTCATCATACCCTGTATGGTACTGACCATGCTCAGTGTTATGACCTTCATGCTCCCCCCTGAATTTGGCGAGAGAATCACACTAGTGATTGAATCGTTCTTTGCAATGGCAGTGATTTTACTCAACATATCTGACTCGATCCCCGTCACCTCTGATGCCACGCCTATCCTGATGCATCTTCTGATGAGTGCTATGTTTCTAATTGGAGGGTGCCTTGTGGCTAATGCCATTGCYTTAAACTTGTACAAGACCTGTGAGGTGAGTTAGTTTCCTTATCATGTTTTGAAATGATATTAGTTTTTTTCAACAATAGTGTCTATGTTTAAGCTGTGATATASATATGAATACTAAGTCTTGAAAAAGAGGAAAATGTCTTTACTTCGAACTTGGGRTTTCCATATCAACTTGACCTGTTTYATGGCTAWGTCAAGACTCTGCATTGTTTCTTTCTGRGGTTATTTTTGATGGCTTTAAATAWAAAGTGAGATGGWAATCCCAAGTCAAGCAGCAGACAAAGAAATAACAAATGATACACAGATAAGAGTTTCCGTCCAACAGTCACAGGAATTTTATTAAAGTTTCAGATAATACCCTATATTTTATTATCATTAATCAAGCATTAATTTATCAGGTTCCAGAATGGGTACGTGTAGTGATACTTCATTATCTCAGCCGYTGTCTGTTCATGGGATCYAAAGCGTCAACGGACGACGTGGAGTTTCCAGCCAATAATGAGGTCAAAGTAGAAGATCTTCGATCGAAACAGCAAAAGCTTGCAGGTACAAAGCTATACCATGGTCCACTTTACAGCCCACTCCAAGGATCTCCTAAATTAACACATAACCTTGATGGTCTTGGTCGTAAAAGACCCTTGTACGCGGACCCCCTGGATTCCTACATGTTCTCAAGAATTGCTGATGGATTTACTGCTCTTGCTCAGCAGTCTGATCGAGAAGATGAGRGCGACATMGATMGGGAGTTTTGGTCATATGTGTGTATGGTTGTTGATCGTATCTTTTTTATTGTGTTCTTTTTTATGTTTACTGGGTCGTATGTTAAAGTATTTAGTGAGGTGCCTTCACATTATGATTTCCCGCTGTAGAACSGTCTACAGTTTAATTCATTTGAATCCAATGGAATTCATCGTGTGAGGCTGCCTTGGCATAGGGACCAAGATATKTAGACAMATTTTCCTTCTGTCTTATCCATTCTGTTCTTTTCTTTCGAATTCGTTTCTCATTTTTCACTTAATCTACTTGTTACCTTTCTTTTCTTTCCTGTTCTCTTTTCCATTCTGTGTCATTTTTTCTGTCTTAATTTTCTTCCTTGTTTTCATTCATCTTTGCTTGTTTTCCCTTTTATTTCCCTGCATTCGTTCCTTTGTTTTCTTTGTTCTTCACATTGGTCCATAAAGAGTCATTTACTTTGAAGAATTAGGAAATATTTGCATGAGATATTATTTTAACTCGACCCTATATACGGGTTGTTCGGMGTCTGCTGATAAATATGAACGAACGAGTTAGTACAACCCACATTTAATGAAAGCCGATAACCCGTGAAACAAAGGTGACTTGAGTAGATATTAGATTATTACTCTGAGTAGTCCACTTTTGATTTTGTTTCACGGGTTGAGGTCTTCRTGCTTCTTGTAACCACCACAGTGATTTTCCGTCGTCTTTTAAAGAAAAAACAACCAAGATAAGAGGTAGCAGTAGACACTCTTTTGCTCTTAGTCAAACAGGGCAAAATGGATAGATTGTTTTTTACTGAACTGTGAAATAGACAATAAAATCTTCAGGTTTTCTTAGTTAGAATACGACTATTCGGAAACACTTACTATTAGTAATTGATTCGCGGTTCAGTAAAAGCACCCTAGACGACTGAAAATCACTCTAATATAACTTAGGTATAACAGAATGAGGCCCCTTAACCCCTAAATATTTATTCGACTGGTATTTGTCTTACTGGTCGTTATATAGAGTGAAGTCAAAAACCCGTGAAATAGATATTACAATAATACACCTAAGGCGTTCTGATTGAATTTTTTGCATTGTTCTATCAAAGTGAAATAGTTAAATTTTGTTTCACGGGTTAATGACTTCACTCTACACTACACGTACTTACTCCGTGAAACAAGAATTACTGCTCTATATGTTGTTGATTTGACAATGGAGAACAAAGGAATTACCATAATTTAGCGCCTATCTACTAGCGCCTATAAACTATTTATGTTTCACGGATTTAGGCTCGTGTACATAGTCATTTTTATTAAGAAATGAAAACAAACAATCGTTTCCGTGTGCATAAATATCAATAGAGTATTGTTCTGACTATTTGACTATTACGTCTTGACTGAATTCGTTTCACAGGTTTATGTCCACTCAGTATTAGTTTACGTAAGATTTAAGTACATGCACTTAATCCGTGAAACGAATTGCTGTACACTACTAAATAGTGTGATTAGACAATAAGAAAAAAACAAGATATTAGCATAATTTAGAACCAATTATACTGTTCATGCTTCACGGGTTAAGTACGTGCACTTATAGACTGTACATTACGTATTACGTTACGTATTACGCTGGGCATTATGAAGCCTTGTCACGTGCTCGTTCGCGAATCTCATGCTTTGATTCAAGTAAAGTTTCTTTATCTTCAAAATGACTGGTTCTTTTCGTATTTTTTATTTGTTTTGAAGTAATTCTGATTTGTTTAAAAAACGAACAAATACACGAAATGAACAAGAAAGAAATAATAAATGAGAAAAGAGGGTTGTGTGGAGCGCGAARTACCACCAATACCACAAGAAAATAGCCAAATTATTCTTACATCCATTCTTAAGAAGCCCCATTTCAACGAATGAGAGTGCTATGAACGATATATGCTGGAAAAATTAAGAAAACAAWTTTTTCTTTTTTTTCGTTTCCAAACTTTTCAAATTTGCGGGATCCCTGTGTCGWTTTACTCTGTTCATAAWCCAATATGGCGGAAATKTTTGCATACCTAATTTCTCTGCAATGSATTCATCTTTTTGAAAWWTTCTTTTTGCAGATATGCTTCTCACATTGTAAAATATGTTCTGGACAAGTTTTGTTTTCATAGCGTTTTTAAAAGTTGGAGAAAAAAGAGAAAAACTGTGTTTTTGCGATTAACTGCCAGGCGTTCCTCTCGGACGGGTTTAACCTCTAATAACATCCTAATTTTATCCTTTTAGGAAAATCTAAATCCAGATTCAAGTAGCCCTTTTCCTAAGCTTTCTAACAATATAAATTTTGTTGGAAATAAAGTAATTTGAAAATTTCGAAATTTTTGGGCCAACTCGAAAAATCGAAAAAAACGCTATTTTTCGWCMTTTTTTYCACTAGGGTCATTTCTCGGCAACTAGACCGATTTAGATCATTCTTTTTGGCATGTTTATAGAGTAATGTCTAGTGTTTATTGTGGTGGTCTTGATTATTTGATTGAAGTTTTCTAAGTAGGAGAAAAATGCTTGTAAAGTGAGGGGAAATTTTTCCGTTTGAGCATATCCCGAAATCCTACTAGAACCCAGCGAGAACAGCCAAAAACAACCCAAATGATATCTTCTGATGTTGAATGAAAGGAATCCAAGAAAATATTTGCATAAAAATCGTTTTTGATAAAAATACAAGCTTTTCTATTTTCGCCATTTTGGTCTTTTTCGGGATCCCTGTGGTGAACTGCAGTGGATTAAGCGCAATTATTTGCATGCCTAATTTCTCTGCTTTGAATTCATCTTTTTGAGAAATTCTTTTTATGGTTACCTTTATTAGTCTACAAAGAGCGTCCACACTAAGTTTCAAAACGATAGCAATTTTAAAAGCGGAATGGCAAGCAAAAAAGTCAAAATTTTAACAAAACTGACATGCGTCAACTTTGACCTCTAATAACATCCTAATATTATCCTTTTTCGAAAAACTGACTCCAGATTCACTTCGCCCTTAATCTCAGCTTTCCAACGATGTAAGTTTTGTTAAAAACAAAGCAGTTTGAAAATTTCGAAATTTTTGGACCATCTCGAAAAATCGAAAAAAACGCTATTTTTCGACATTTTTTTCACTAGGGTCATTTCTCGGCAACTAGACCGATTTAGATCATTCTTTTTGGCATGTATATAGAGTGATAACCAGTGTTTATTGTGGTGGTCTTGATTATTTGATTGAAGTTTTCTAAGTAGGAGAAAAATGCTTGTAAAGTGAGGGGAAATTTTTCCGTTTGAGCATATCCCGAAATCCTACTAGAAAGCAGCGAGACCAGCCAAAAACTAGCCAGTTGTAATCCTTAGATGCTGAATGAAAGGAATCCAAGAAAATATTTGCATTAAAATATTTTTTGATAAAAATATGAGCTTTTCTTTTTTCAGTAATTTGGCACTGGACTTCACCACAGGGATCCCGCAAATTCGATCTGATTCTCGAGTTCAATTTCTTTTCGAAAAATTATTTCTATTGAATTATTTTCTTAAATATAGTTTATCTTTCCACCTGAAGATGGTACTTGGGTGCTCTTCAGCTACTCTCACTGCATTCTATCGGGATTTTGGGATCTCATTTTTATCAACTTAAATATGTATCTGTGAAAACCGCAAATAAATTTAAACAAGAATCTAAAAACGAAGTGTCGATATTGACCTTTTTTGCGATTTTATTAGCAAAAATACGCTTTTTTGCGGAACGCCTGGAAAATTTATATCATATGTAAATTTCCACAGGGATCCCAAAAATTGGCAAAGTACCGAAAAAAGAAAAGCTCATATTTTTATCAAAAAAGATTTTAATGCAAATATTTTCTTGGATTCCTTTCATTCAGCATCTAAGGATTACAACTGGCTAGTTTTTAGCTAGTCTCAGAGCGTTTTAATTGGAGTTTGGRATATGCTCAAACGGAAAAATTTCCCCTCACTTTACAAGCATTTTTTTCCTACTTAGAAAACTTCAATCAAATAATCAAGACCACCAMAATAAACACTAGACATTACTCTATAAACATGCCAAAAAGAATGATCTAAATCGGTCTAGTTGCCGAGAAATGACCCTAGTGGAAAAAAGGACGAAAAATAGCGTTTTTTTCGATTTTTCGAGATGGTCCAAAAATTTCGAAATTTTCAAATTGCTTTGTTTGTAATAAAACTTACATCGTTGGAAAGCTGAGATTAAGGGCGAAGTGAATCTGGAGTCAGTTTTTCGAAAAAGGATAATATTAGGATGTTATTAGAGATCAAAGTCGATTTCCAGGAACGCCTGGAAGTTTTGTTAAAAATTCGACATTTTTGCTTACCATTCCGCTGTTAAAATCTCTATCGATTTGAAACTTGGTGTGCACACTCTTTGTAAACCAATAAGGGTAACCATAAAAAGAATTTTTCAAAAAATTAAATTCAAAGTGGAGAAATTAGCCATGCAAATAATTGCGTTTAATCTGCTGTGGTTCACCACAGGGATCCCGCAAATTCAAGATGATTGCTGAGTTTTTTATGCCTTAAAATACGTTTTTTTTGCAAATATTTTCTTGAATCTCGTTTATCTTAACTCCTGAAGATGGTATCTGGTATTTGGTATGAGGATGGTATATGGGTAGTGTACAGCTACACTCGCTTGCAATTTATCGGGATAGAAAAAAACTATAATAAAATAAATAGTACCATAAATAAAGAAGGGAAAAAAGACAAAAAAAAATAATAATAATAAAACTGAGAAAAAAAAAAACACAAAAAGTCCAGCCTCAGCTTGGGGCTCGAAGAGCCGGGACCTCAGACCGAGCGAGAACCGCTGGTCCACCGAGGCTGGACGTTAGATCAACGTCTACATTTTAATACGCATAACCAGCGATTCTTCATAAGTGATAGTTTACGGACAAACACTTTTTTTCCMAATCGGCTGTCACATTTATAAGAACAAATGTACAAAAAGCTCAAAAATAATATTCAATCGCAGACATTATGAATCAATGCAAAGAAATTTACCTGGAAATACTGTTTATCAATAGCACAGGGAACCCACACATTTTGCCATAGTTTTTGCCGTTTTTTATTGACATTGTTTTGGTAATGTTGAATTTTTACTTAATATCTTTATAGAGTTTTCTTTGCTTTTCCAGATGATGTATAATTTATTGTGTAAAAATAATGGGAAAYGTGGTTATAAAAGATCATCTCAAATCCTCACTTTTTACTGGGTAATAATTACTCGAAAACGTCTGTAAATTTTAAGGATTTGAGACGGTTTCCTTTAACGAACAATTCCCATCATTTTATACTTTGAAAATAAATATCACCTGGAAGAGCAAAGAAAACCTAATAAATACACTAAAGAAAAACACAATTTCAACCAAATGTGTCAATAATAACTGCAAAACAAACGTCAATCAGATGGCACAGGGAGCCCATAGGCCCAAAATATAGGGATATTATTTCTGTCCATTTTTTTCTCATTTCCCTCACATCTTTAGAAGATTTTGGGGTTTTTATTTTATGAATATACATGGTTTTCCGTGCTTTTTCAGATTATATAGGATTTGTTATATGAAAATAATGGAAAGGTTGGATATCAGGAAATTGTCTCAAATCCTCACTTTTTACAGGGTAAAATTTACTCAGGAAAGTGTGTAAATTTTAAGGATTTGAGACGGCTTCCCTAAACGAACAATTCACATCATTTCTGCTTGAAAATTGTATATCAACTGAAATAGCAAAGAAAACCAAATAAGTACACTAAAGAAAACCCAATTTTAGCAAAATATTTTAATAAAAATTGAAAAAAATCCAAAGAACTTCAATAAAATGGCACAGGGAGCCCAAGGTTCAATGGGAGATAATTTTAGTACAGTTTTTTCTCATTTTCACTCACATCTTTAGAAGATTTTAGGTTTTTATTTGGTGAATATGCATAGTTTTCCGTGCTTTTTCAGGTAATATATGATTTGTTATGTGAAAATAAAGAGAAGTTTAGATGTCAAGAAATTGTCTCAAATCCTCACTTTTTACAGGGTAAAATTTACTCAGAAAAGTGTGTAAATTTTAAGGATTTGAGACAGCTTCCCTAACAAACGCACAATTAATTCTCATCATTTTTAAATGAAATTAAACATCAACCGATGAGCAAAGAGAATCAAATTAAACTTAGAAAACCCAATTTGCATGATTTGTTACGGATTTATTACGTAAAAATAAAGGTATTAGTGCATACCGATAAATTGTCTCAAATCCTCACTTTTTACACACTAAAAGGTCCCCACAACGCCGTGTGAAAAGTGAGGATTTGAGAAGATTTCTCTAAATGAAGCATTTCGTAATTTCCATCCCGAAAATTACATAYCAACTGAAAGAGCTAATAAAATTGRTCAAAKAAACTGAATAAAAATCCGACTTTAGCAAAAAATGTGAAATAAAAACCTGAAAAACTTCAACAAACACGGACTTCCATGAAATGGCACAGGGAACCCAAGATCCCAAATTTTAGGAGGTGATTTTCGTTATAGTTTTTTCCCTTTTGTACTCAAAGTTTAGGATAAAGTTATTCTTTTCTTTAATGAATTTACATTGTTTTCTTTGCTCTTTCTGGTGGTATGTAATTTGTCGTGTAAAAATAATTGGAAGTGTGGAAATCTAGAAATCGTCTCAAATCCTCACTTTTCACWAGGTAAAATGTCCCCAAAAGACCTTGTGAAAAGTGAGGATTTGAGYGCTTCGCTAATATCTCAAAAACACGAGTTCCTATCCCAATCTTTTTAAATATAACTTATATTATGTACTTAACCTTGCAAATTCTAAATGTTCATCAAATATATACTCGAAATACKTCATTTTATGAAGAATTTTCACCAAAAAAATYCACAAATCCKTGTGGGTTACCTGTGGTCCGCCATCTTTGTCGCTGTCTTGGMGTTCGCAGGTGTTCACAAAGCAAGAAATGCAAATATTTCGATTATAAAGGCCAAAAAKATGGATGAAGAAGAGATAGACTTTAGRACAGAAGCCCAGGSAGTTATCAAAGACATCGCTTTCACGGTGGACCACATCAAAGTTTCAGAACGACTTCCCTCAAGTGCCGAATGTGTTTATTTCAACATYGTTACTAAAGAAAGCAATATATACTGTGTGCAGTTATGCGTGCAAGGTTTTAGGGTAAGTTAGACGAAATGTTGTGGTCTTATTGAGATAAAAACTTACCATGGATCTCCTCCAAGCTTTGTAGGAACTGCGGTGACATCGATCACGCAATCAAAGCAGATGTAAACAATGAAGAGAAATGAAATGAAGGCTRTCTGATCTGCCACTTATATCATTTAGAAAAGCGGAAGATTTTGAGATTACATAAGTATAGGGATGTTTTCAATAAGAACTCAACAGCAAATGCTTCATATATTCAACTAAAAACCTTTAATATTGTTTTTTAATATCTACAATTCATCAATTATTATATTAGCTAATTATATTATATATTAATTACAGCAATATGCAGATATTATGATCCTTTTGACCCATATTCCAAGAATATATAAAATATATCAGAAATTATTATGTCATCGCCACTATTTTTTTCAGGAAGTGCCAGTTCTAGGCAACTTCAAAAAAATGTCAGCGAAGATATCTCATAATTTCTGATATGTTTTATATATACTTGAAATATGAGTAAAAATGATCATAATTTCTGCATATTGCTTAAGGAATAAAAGACGAAATTCCGTGTTTGATACTCTGATCAAAACACGCGGGATGTAGGGAGAKCACGAGAGAAGCGTAGGAAACCACGACGCGTAGCGGAGTGGTTTCCAGCTTTTCGAGTGCTCTCCCTACATCCCAAGTGTTTTGATCAGAGTATCAAACACGGAATTTCGTCTTTTATTTCTTTTCTAAAATTAAAAGAATACGAAAATTTGACTTTTGATACGATATGAAACGATGAATTCTCCTTACATTKCAGTTGTCTGCAGCTTCTGTAGAATCTAAAACGTTTGATAGCTCTTCTTCTGGGATATCATCCGAGAGGACATCATAAATAGGCATTTCTTCGTTCATTGTTCTTGAAAATGAATAATAACAACAACAAATGCAAATGGTGGGAAAAAGAAATTTTTGACGCGCGCGAGCGTGTTTTGATACTGTAATCAAACATGGTTTTCGACCAATCACAGCGCACGTAGTATCCTAAATATTTTAGAATGTATATTATATAATATTATATTATCATATTATATCAATTACATGTATATTACAGCAATATGCAGAAATTATGATCTTTTTGCTCATATTTCAAGTATATCTAAAATATATCAGAAATTATGGGATATCATCGCCATTTTTATGACATCAACTTAATTGATAATTATCCTCTTTCATTATCACAGGTTGTCAGTAATTCATTTGATGTTTGTGCCGACAATCCATCAGGTCCATTCTATGAGACTGTGTATGCTCTACTTGACAAYATCAGCCCTCTGTACACCCAGATGTTTGGAAATGAACTATCCAGGAAACTATTACAACTAAAAGACAACATGGACAAAACAACTCAATAAGAGAATTAGTTTGGTAAAGAAGACAGCATATATAAGGAAAGATCGAGCATTTTCCAATGGAGCATTTCTGTACACAAACATTTTCAGATATTTTGAAGTTCATGCACATGAAAATAGGTATTCCAGGAAAAATTAATAACAGCTTAAAAATATTGCCAGGAAATACCTTTTTTCGTGTGCATACTTTCAAAATTACACAATGCGTCTTGGTGATCATTCATGAAGAATATTTATGAAAAAAACCCTTAATCACATTCAAATTTTTAGTAATGATGACATGCATACATTGACTCAATTTTCAGTCTCATACCCAGTCGTTTCTCTTGCTCCTTTACAGGACACATTGCATCAAGGGAATCTGAACTACCAGTTTCCTTGATCCTTTGAGCATGCCAGAGAAAAAAAAAAGAGTAACACTGGGCATGAGTCTGCTCAATTTTACCATTTGAAATTATTGGTAATATATAMTATGTAAATAATAGGAAATGAATTGGTTCATAGTTTTAGCTGTTCTTTCTAACTTACATAGGGTTAATTTTTACTGTWCGTGTAGCAATGCATGACAGTTACTTATTGCAGTATGCTGATTACAGYCTGCACTGCAATGTAACCAGACCAGATATAACTTGTTGCAAAACAAAACAATTGTGTTGTGTTATTGACGAGTGAAGTATGACAATACAAACTTGTGTCCGCCATGTTTATTCCTCGTGGTCAACTAACTATATTAGTTTCCAGTCTCTCTCATACATACATTAGCATRGCTAATTAACATAATACAACAAATTGCAATTAGCAAGAGACTGCATTCAAGCAACTAAAATTGGCGCAAACTGTGGCTTGCTTGAAAAGTTTGATTGGCAACAGTCTATTGSTAATTTCATGAATTTGTTTGGGATATGCAAACTGTGGTAAACAGCATTTTGTACGGCATTGAATCTTATACTCACCATTCATGTYAGACATATATGTCATCTGATTTTATGAGTACTGGGAAGTCTGAAAATAAAAATAAATAAATCATTGGTGCTGTTGATCTGATAAAGTGTTGCATAGATTAAAATGTGAGTAATGTAACCTGATTAGATAAATAATTTGTGAATTATAATTGATATGTCTACCAAMAGTATAATTAATAGTATTTCAACTTTTATGAGATCATTTTGTGTATTTATTATATGTATGTAGGTATTTATATGGTATTCTGAAATAAAACTTTATTTCATATTTATGTATGACAGTGTGTAAAATATATCTAAGGGGTATGAAGCTCCCCCCTTCCTTTCTTGTYCCAGTTAGACATTTATTATCATCCATTTCACAATCGAGCACACTTATGAATTCCCAATAAGTCGATTGTCATTCATATTTACTGTAAAACATGACCCCTATTAAACGATCAACCTCCATAAACCGGTCACCTGGACTTTTTTCCAAGTTGACAGCTTCATAGAGGTTCAACTGCAAATGATTTTCTATTTTGTCCCACTACTACTGATAGATGAACAAAGGAAAGGGATCCAGAGGTATCGAAGTAAAAGTTGGAACTAAAAATAAAATTGGTTTTATTGGTTTCCATGACTACATATAACACAGACGCTAATGACGCACCTACGTTAAGGAAAAACTGGGAATTATTTCGGTTTGTTAAAACAAGAAAAATAAAAGTACAAAAAAATGCATCTCATTGCCGCTATTGGCCAAATGCGAACGCGTTGTATAGATAAAGAGGTCGAGGTCCGGTACTCAATTGACCGAGTTTTTAAAAAGAGGGCGTTATCCCCACTTCTGACACCAAATGCGCAAACTCCCGACTTTTTGATTCACAAACTTCGCATATCACCACAAAACACCTTCAATCAAAAATAACAAGCGATGTAGATCAATTTTTTTGAAGTAGAAATGTCCAAGATGTCAAAATACTGGAACATTTCTTATGCCATGGTTAAATAAGTACTCAAGTGCTTACCCGCTGACCATGAATGTTGATTTGTTGAYGTTGAAGGGTTTTTGTCAGGGTAGATCTGAGGTCATGACCCACAAATGAGTGAAAGGCGTAAATGAAATGAATTGTCTCTGATTTTGATGGCTACTTGTGCTACAATGAAGGGGACAAAGATATTGGGTTGTTTTCCTAAGTCTGGTTGAAGGGTTTTTGTCAGGGTAGATCTGAGGTCATGACCCACAAATGAGTGAAAGGCGTAAATGAAATGAATTGTCTCTGATTTTGATGGCTACTTGTGCTACAATGAAGGGGACAAAGATATTGCTGATTTGGATGCTTATCAGCTTCCCAAGTTTTATTAGTAAGTAGATCTTCATGATAAACCATGAAATCGAAATAGAATGTTGAATGAAGTGAAATATATGCTAAGTGAACTGTTTAAAGAGACCATCCCCCTTTTTACGACATCAAGTTCCAGGTTTTATCTGTTATAACTTCTCAGTCGACATTCATTACCCTCATTGGTTATTTTTCTTATGTAAACATTCTAGTTTGCAAACAAATTGTGATTTCTTTATTGTMGATAATTCCGCGGTCCATATGATGTAATTAATGTAACGATTGACCAATCAGCGCTTGATTATGATATTTATATCACTTAAACTGTTACAGAGTAATTTAATGATTGCTTAAACCGTAGACGGATATCACTTTTACAAGAATCATCGTCATCATAAGAAAGCTGAGAATGAGAAGGCAGTTAAGAAGCACTATTTACCCTATTATCCTAGATACTACCCTGGGCCAGCACCAGGTATGCACCAGTATATATCATGTCTCACTATRYCCCTCTAGAGTGAGCACAAGCGAAGAAGGAAGGAACTCACGYTCGTGCACGAATCAGCGATGGCCTAGGAAGAGATGCAAGAAGMATTAAAGGAAGCAGAAGAGCAAAACCTTCCGTCCTTCTTCCTTTGTCACTTCTATCTCCTTCCCTTCCAATTAATTATTTCACCMGTCAATAATTTGAAGTTATACAGATGTCTGTGTAATTGTAGCGGTGTCCGTGTAATWTAGAGGTGTCTGTAAAGAGGTGTCTGTAAARAGGTGTCTGTGTAATAGATGACCGTGACATAGAGAAATCTGACTGCAAAATATAKGGGTGTCCTTCAGCAACAGTGACAGTGTACATATGGCCAACTGTCACACTAAGCTTTGATGTTTATATTCTAGTGCCACAGCCATATACCTCACCACRACGTCCYGCTTCGATGCCATATACACCTCCACAACACCCTGCTTCGATGTCATATTCCTCTCCRCAACGCCCTGCTTCGATGCCATATTCCTCTCCACAACGCCCTGCTTCGATGCCATATAGCTCTTTACAACGTCCAGCCCCGCAGCCTTATACTTCTTTACAACGTCCAGCCCCGCAGCCTTATACTTCTTTACAGCATCCTGTTTACCAATCACAGARGTACCACCCTCAAAACACACAATATGATAGCGGACAGGTTGGTCGTAGGTGCTGCCAGGCGCAGAGTTATGGTTCCAACCCTTCATCGTACCCCTCACCCTACCCCTCACCGTATCCATCACCATATCCTTCTCTCTATCCGTCCTACACCATGGTGTTCCCGTCCTACCCYGTACAAGGACAACCATCCTGTTGCCAAAATGACCAYCCYCCACCCTGCTGCATCACTRTAAAACCTGGTGACACCAAGAAGGTTCARCTTGACGCCGCTGGACAGAAATACGTTTTATCTGTCAATCTGAATTCTGATAAACAGATATCAGGTAAGTGATGGACAAGTATTTGTAAATATTGATACCATGCTCCTATTTTGTAATGCCTTTATCACCTAATATTAATAACATTTGGAAATAATTTAATTATGATAATTTACATGTGTGTAGATTCTAGCAAGCAAGAGGACGTCGGACCACCACCGCCGACGTCCGGCAGTCCAACAAAGACTGCGTCTACTGCAACTAATTCTACAACTACAGCTACACCTACCCAGTCAGGATCGGTACATACTAGCTTACCTGTCAGTTCAGATAGTGACAGTACCTCAACCGGTCCTACTAGCGCAACAACGGAATCAATAACAGGCTCACCAGTCAGCCCCACTCCACCAGGGACCACAGTAAAACCAACTGATGYTAATGCACATGGAGAGGATTTTGATGAACAGATTGAAAAGCTTAATCATGAAATTGATAAAATTGATATCGACAATTCTCTTAAGCAAAATAGAAATCTAACAACCAAAGTTGTGGACAAAGACAGAGGTTTCCACCGAGATTCTGCAGGTAAATGTTCCGTGTAGGGGAATGTAAGTTATAGGAAGGATGGTATTAACTCCGGAAAAGGTACCCCTGACCACCTGGATCCGCTCTTGACTACAATAGATCAAAATACAAGAATTTGACACAACACTAAAGCAATGGAAAATAATTTTTAAATTATTTTATATTTAAAAACACGAAACATTGCACATATCAATTTAACTTGACTTAAAACGACTGAAAGTAGATTTGAACAAACCACAAAATAMATGAAATAAAAATTGGAAAAGTTGTTGTCATGTTTTATCATGAGGCTAGAGCGGATTTTGTATGACTATGCAAAAAACACGGTACGTTGTGACCGTACCGTGCCGTAGCGGTGATGTATTGTTAAATCTTTATTTTATTTGGAATCCTAGAAAGTGAGGTTCCGTGACCGTGCCGTATCCGTGTTCTGATCCGTGTCGTTGCACAGTCATACGAAATCCGCTCTATCATGTTATACGTGATAAGACACTGATTATTCTCACTTAATTCGATCCTTCTTTTGCTGATATAGGTAAGACAGGCAACAGATCAGCGGCAATTCTTGTAGGCCAGCCTTTGGTGGAACCGAATCTTTCCTCAGACATATCAGCACACAAACCATTTTCAACAAAACCCTTGAAGATTGATGACAATAAAAGTGCAAATTATCGAAACTTCGACGGTAAAAACAATCATATAAAGGACAAAAACGAACAACGAGGTCTCGCACATCCAAAGAAACA